AGTAAGCACTGTCACCTTGTTACAGAGTCTCGCTCATGCACTAGATAATTTGCGTACATGACCTCCTAGCTCGGATTCTTGCAATTGTCGAAATACGGCTTGACGGTTCGCTATCATTCAGACTGCAGCAAATCAGGTTCATTGTCAACGCGAGTCATGCTTAGACCTAGTAAATGGGATTGAAAATTTAGTATGTTACGGGTGAAAAATAGTTAAGAAATACTGTACTAGTAAAATGCAGGGTCTGGCCGATTCGCTATACACGTGTTCCACGATACAGGCACACATTTTTTTTGCGCGGTGCGTGCATGTATCCTCCGGCCAAAACACCGGGCAAAAAGGGCTTGTACACTTAGGGGGCGGGAGTAGACGGACTTTTGTCATTAAATGCAGACGGCCTATGTGCGCCCGTTCTGGTAACCATCGCGAGAAACTTCTGGCCCGCATGAAACGGGTCATGTTACAACAACAACAACCTTCCACTACATTTATGATACAGACAGAGAATTATAACACATAGTACAATACAGTTGAATGTATTTGCATAGATGACACTTCATGTACCAGTTCTTCTATGTCAAAAAATGACACCACATGACACCACATGTTCCGACTTGTGACTGTGCTTATATCGTCCAATGTCCACCTGCCCATCCGCACAACAGCAAGCGGCACATAACAGAGAGGTACAGAGAGGCTCGCCTTGCCTCACTCACACTCCTGAAGAAGCACAGTCCAGAGAGGCAAACCCATCCGCACACCCCTTCACAGATGCACACCACAGATAGGCACACACACCAACCGTCAATCTTGCAACGATTGACAACGCAGAGGCACAGACACCCACGCACACGCTTGTACAAACACTGGAGAAAGTGAAACAATTGCAACGAACACATGGCACCGGGATATATGGAGAGGTAGACAGAGCGGGGTTAAAACATCCTCATGAACTCCGCCGCTCCATCAAAGTCGTCCATGACAGCAGTCGCTTGCAGTAGTCGTTCACGGCTGATGGCGGTGTGTGCAGTGCCTAGATCGTTGCTGCCACTGGCTGAAGCGCGAGGAGACGGAGCGTAGTTGAGGTCGATGGTGAACGGTCTGCGCTGCTTCGGGCTAGCCCTCTCGAGGCGTTCAATGATATCAGCGTTTCGGATGTCGAACAGCTCCTTGAGGTAGCGTGGACGGATCCGCGTCGCCCTCGCATAAGCGATGAGCAGATCCGTCGCTAAGCGCCGAACCCGCCGCATTGCCCTTGCGCGCTCAGACAGCTCGATGACAAAGGGAGGCTTGCCTCCCGTCTGGAATATTGGAGGGGGTTCGGTGGAGAGAGGATCGACGCCCTTGGGCTCGCACGTCGGGTGGGTCTCGTCGATGCGAGTGAAGTCCTCGGTGGAGAGGGCGTCGGCACCGAACGCGAACTGGTTAATCTGAGATCCCACCACCCACAGTTCCTCCGTCGAATCGCTTGGGTCAGAGCTCTCGTACATGAGGTGCGGGAGGATCCGACTCCAGCTACGGGGCAGTATCTTGGCATGGTGCCAGCACCGCTGAACGGTGTCGAGCTCAACACTGCCCCATGCATCAGCTAGCCACTGCACTGTTTGCCAAGCCTTCGGCTTCTTCGTCGCCTGTGACGCTGGTGACACACGGGAGTCCCACAGCTTCCACAGCTCCTGTAGCCACTTGGATCGAAACCGCCGCTTGACAGTCGCGATAATGCCTTGGTCCAATGGCTGACAGTAAGCCGTGATGTTGGGGGGAAAATAGACGATTCGTACATTGCTGAGCTTCCGAATGCGGAAGCCACATACATCCTCAGTGCTGGCGGTGGGAGAGAGCAGGTTATCGGAGGATGCGTTGTCCACCAAGACAACGATCTGCCTCTGTTCGGCGAACATGCAGGCGTTCACTGACTCAAAAAAAGACGTGAAGATCTGTAGGCAGGGTGGCGGGTGGGAGGGGGTAGGAGAGAACAAGAGAACCACACATGAGGATCCGTTCAAATGTCATGTAGAGGGACCTGCAAATTAGAGATCCTCCAAGGTAGAAATGGAAGCTCACGTACATGCAAAACAATACGCCACTCACCTCGGATGTCATCCAGCCCTTGGGATTTTGGCGCCAGTAGACGTACGGCTCGGGGTCGAAGCTGTTCTCGTTGAAGTCAGTCGGACGGCGCACTTTGGAGACAACGAGAGGACGATACATGCTGGATCCGTCTGCGTTGCATAACAAGGCCACCGTGATGCGGTCTTTTGCAACCTTGCGACCGACGGGCGAACCATCCGACCAGGTACGACGAGGCTGCTGACCCGGGAAGAGGGCGACCTCATCCCAATTGTAAAGATCACGAGGAATAACGCCGATCTGCTCAATTAGCTCCGGCATACGCTGCCTACACAGCTCGACCGCTGTCTTGTCCTCATCGAACGCCTTGCCCTTGCGTGCGAGGTTACAGAAGCCCATGCGATGCATGGCGCGGTGACACCAGCTGATCGAGCATTCGAACGTGTCAGGGACGCCACACTCTGGGCGCAAGTCCAAAGCCCTCTGTCGAATAATCGACAGAGTGAGAGGGATGCCAGCGTCCTCGGCTCCATACACCCAGGCCTTCAGTTCTCTCTCCAATTTAGGGAAACGACCCTTCCTCAGGCGGATGGCATTTTGTGCTGCAGCAGCGGACTTCCACTTGTCCGCCTGTCGAACAATCCTCCCCACAGTGCTGCGGTCAGGAACAATCCCAAACCTCGTGAAACACCAACGGGCAAGATCCTCCTGGTGCCAAGATTGATGGGTTTCCGCCTGCCGACAGATTTCTCGCTTCATGTCGAGCGAAATCTGGGCCCTTCTGTGAAGGCGAGGCTGGCGACGGGAACGAGGGGCAAACATGTTGTCAGTTGGGTGAAAGCGGAGATGGATGGGGTAACGGTGTGTGGCTGGCAGTTGTTCGGAGTGATGGGCCTCTACTCATGCATTTGAAGTTCCTAAAACACGCCTGCAAACTGCGCTGGCGTACGCTGATGTGTTCATTGGTTGATGCATTCGAACATCAGAATCTGATATTGCTAGAAACTTCTTTGTTTACGTGGCATGTTAACGGCTCGTTGGCTGACGATAAGCCTTCTAGTGACTTCGCTAGGACGTTGTTTTTCGCTAACGTAATCTTCTGAACGAATCCTATTGGTTGCTGTAAAATCTGTGCGCTATCTTGTACAGTACACTCTTGTGGGTCGTTTCATGTGGAACAGCGATTGTGCATATACACTAGGGGATAAGAGCAGGGTGTATTCGTCATTGGGTCCTTAACCGCGACTGGGCGAGTAGCGCGGATGTCTGTAGGCGGGATCATGTGTATTGTACACTGTCCTGCCGCTAGGAACTGCAGCCACGATCCCTAAACAAGCAACAAACAACCCATCCAAACCCACCGACAGTGCCTTCCGTCCATCACAGCGAGGTGGAAAAATGAATCTCCACATTATTCGGACCAAACAAAAAGAATCTGTGTCGCACCCGAAGCTGGTTGGACGCACAACAAACTCTGACACGTTATCGGCGCCGTGGAATACACCAAAACCCTCACACCCTGAAACTGGGTGGCATAATATTTTTTGTTTCCACCCTGACCATTTCTGAGTTCGTAGACAGTACCCCTTTGTCCCAACGGCCTCCGTTTGGACACGCGGGCAAAAAAATTGAGCACTTCCAAAGGTGATGTCGGGTTTCCTGAATCGAGAAACACTAAATCGAGCAGTAAACGTTTCGTATAGAAACCCAAGTTCAAATTGTTTTTCAAAGGGTATCCAGATCTGGTCTTCAGGAGCTGCTTTCGGGGGGTGAATACCCTCTCGGCGGAACCCCCTGTGAAAATACTGGGTGTAAAAATACCGCAGACTAGGTGTATTTTGCAAGCCAGTTCACGCATGGCCAATCAGGAACAATCAACTGGTTTTGCTGCCGAAACCGAAGGGTTTTGGCCACGCCTCTCGCTATGCCCTAGGGTACTCCCCCCAAAATACCCGTTACGAGAAGGAATCGGCCGCTACAAATTCGGCAAGCAAGGGATGCAAGACAAACAGCAGAAAAAACAGCAGAAGTTTCCGTGCACAAGACAAACCTATACTTCGCAGGGTCCAGTATTTTACGGATCACCCGATGGTTTTGGTATACGTGTAACAACAACCTGTAAACAAACGGGTCGGATAAGAGCGGAACGAAACGTCCTCACAATTTCCCGTTGGGCCCTCTGTTTATCGACCAGACACAAATATCTTGTTACAAATTCCACGTTTCTGTCCCATTTGCTCTTTTGCAAAGGATGAGAAATGACAGGCTCGACATTGCCCCCGCAATTCGGGAAGTTTGTGTGACTCTCTCGCTCTTTGATTGCTCCCTGCCTAACAATGGGATGGATTCCCCAAACCGGGTGGCGGCAGAGGGGACACCGTGAAAGGACAGGGTGGCCCAAAACGAAATAGAGGCCTGGTGCACGCAACTAGCTTCCCTGCTCAGTTTACCCCGTCCTCCCAAGAGAAAAGCCCTCGTTTTTGCTGTTATGAATTTTGGACCCATCCTCCCATTGGCCCAGCTCCCTCGTTGTACACAAGTGATCCCCCTGCAAATACACAAGAGGTTGGAACCAGGGCACACGATAGAAGGGTAATCATCCGGAATTTCGGTGAGATTCCGGATGTTTTCCGGAATCAAATCCGGATTGCCTAAATGAACACGAAATTGCAAGGTTTAAAAGTCACATTAGGGGCTGGTGTCATCCTAACTTTCGGAACTTCGGGTCTTCCAGAAAGGGACAATTTCGAAACTGGCAATTTTTGAACTTTCGGTCTTCAGCATTTACGACTAGCTCCGAGTCTTTGGGATCTCAAGAATGCAGAGAAACACGAATTTCCCCCTATTTTGGTCAAATCTGGAAGAAACCGAATTCAGAAATTACAATCGTGAGTTCTGGCTGGAACTCAGAACACATTCCTGCTTGCCCCACAGCTCAGCTTGCTTGCACCATTTTGCACGTACTCCGCTCGCGAATTTTCATTCTTGTCCTCCCTCCATCCTTCAACCATGGCGTCATTGGCCCAGCGCGTCTTCTGCGTCGCCGTTACTTGCCTACTTGTCACGCAAATGGTGTCTGCTGGTAAGTCGCAGGCATGCTGCAGGCAAGTTCAGCCGACTTTCTCTGGGGAAGGAAGCTAACCCTGAAGTTTTTATTTTTGCGTCAAGTCGGAAGAGTCTTCCGACTTGCTTTCTTTAGGCATCCAAGAAATAACTCACTTGAAGCGATGCGGATTGAGTTTCTTGGCCTTTTCCTCTCCTTTTTCCTGAGCAGAATGTGCCGTCGGCTCCGGAAAATACGGCGCTGACTGCCTCGCTTGTCCCGGTAAACTAAGCGCCTCGATGTAGCCCTATTTCGGGCTATCCTCATCTCTTTCTCACTCGTCGTGTCCGCATTATTGTTAAGAAGACCCCTCCGCATTTCTGCCGCGTCGCGTTCTTTGTTTTCTCCCCTTCGCTCAAGTTTTTCTCACAACCAGCCAGTTTCACCTTTCCATTAATTTTCGTACTATTTCGCAGCACCACATTCAGCGATGTCAAGAGCCCCACTCTCGCAGTGGTGCTCCAATGACCGGTCCTCGTTGCACCATCACGGCTCTCCTCCCAACCCTAACATCTCCGCATTCCGTGCAGTCTGTGCCAACTCCGGGACGTGTTTTGACGGGCCGGACGGCAACGGCACATGCGCGTGCCCGCCTACCACAACCGGCGCTCTGTGCGAAACCTGCGCGCCCAGATACAACCCCAACACCAATTGCACTACAGGTGGGCGCTTCATGCACCCACCCACCTACCCACCCTGACGCCGCCGCTGCGCTCCTCTGCAGTTCTTTCTAACTCAGCTGTGGAGTTTCTACTCGCAGACGCCCCTCGTCCTCCCGCTAGCAGCTCCAGTCCGCTCTGCTGCTCTACATAGGACTGAACACACGCCCCTATCACGCTCTCTCACGCTTTCTCTCTCCTTACTTCACTTTGACCCTCTCTGTGGAAAATAACTCTTGTTTTTACTTTTGCAAGGAGTAACGTACTTGAAGTCTGGCTCACAGAATGAGTTTCTCGGCGTCCTTTTCCTCTCCATCTTGCTGAACAGAATGTGCGGCCGGGTCCGGATTATACGGCACAGAGTGCCGCGCTTGTCCAGGTAACTGAATGGTCTTATTGGACCTCATTTCAGAATCTCTATCCACATTTCCTTGTCGGTCCTTGCGTGCGCATTCTTGTTAAGAACGCATTCTTGCGTTTCTGACGTTTCACGTTTCACTCTAAATGTTTTGTTCCCGTTTTCATTATTTTTTTCTCCCATCACGGTGACAAAGCCCCTCTCACAGTGGTGCTCCAGTAATCGGTCCCCATTGCATCATCATGACTATCCTTTCAGCCCTCACATTCTCCCCGGATTCCGTGCAGTGTGTGCCAACTTCGGGAAGTGTAACGACGGGGCGGACGGCAACGGCACATGCGCGTGCCCGCCTACCACATCTGGCACTCTCTGCGAGAACTGCATGCCCAACTACGACCCCAACACCAAGTGCACTTCAGGTAGGTGCACCATGCACCCACCCACCCACCCACCATGTCGTTGCCACGGTGCTCCTCCGCAGTTCCGTTTAACCCAGCTGTGGATAGCCTGCTTGCAGACGGCCCTCGTCCCTCTGCTCAACATACACCTGAACACACGCCCTCTCCCTTTCGTACTTCTTTCTCGTCTTTTGTTCCCCTTCCGCTGACGGTTCCTTCGCTCCCCCATCACCCCCGCTCTCTCTCATGACTCACCACCCATACCCCCCCCCCCCCCCCCCCCCCCACCCCACACACTTCCCCCCCCTTTCGGTCTCTCCTCCAGTGCTGGACGCGTGTGCCAAGCCGACGAGCGACACCACAGCGGAGGACAGTGCGTTTGCCAAGTACTGCCAGCTCAAGGCGCACGGCGAGTGCATCACGGATTTCAACATCGTGCCCACTCAGTCCAAGTGTGGCTGCGCCCCTGGCTTTGAACTCGACGTGGAAACCGATGAGTGCGATGGTGAGTGCGGGGGAGGGTTGCGGTGCGAGGGAGAGTCCAAGCGGAGGAGACGGTTGTGAATAGATGCTTGCCTTGCACCCCCTTTTTCTACCCCCTCCTTGATCCTCCCTAACGAGCACCGTTTGTTATGTTTTGCCTGCTTCTGCCTTCAGATGTGGACGAGTGCACGGAGAAGCCATCTCCCTGCGTGGACGTGCTTTTCTCCACCTGCACCAACCTGGTTGGCACCTACAACTGCACGTGCAAGAAGGGCTACGTGGCGACCACGGTTGACCCGCAGTTCATTGTGAGCACCTGTGTGAAGCCCGCGCCCCCGGCCAAGGCTGCAAGTAGCTCTGCCCACATGCAGAACCAGGGCCATGGGTTCAATTGGATCGGGTGATGATGTCATGGGCGAAAATGGGAATGCGAGGCGTTGATGTCCTCTGAGGAAGCAGGGTTCATATATGGAGTTAGCTAGGTGTGGTGTTTTGCATTATGTATAGCCAGGCGTGTCGAGTCGAGCCTTGTTGGTGTTGCTTGTTCATAGCAGGCTAAATATGTAGATGGGTGAGATAAAGCAGATGTAATGGTTTGTAAGTTGAGTGCAAAAGGGTTGGGGGGAATTTAGTCCTTCACCTTCTCTCCAGCTGCATTTTCAATGTCTGGAGGATAAATATGTTAGAATACTAGAGTGATAGAAACAAGGGAGTACAAGGAAGATTTGGGGTTGGAGATGTACTCTCTAAGAACACAAGCCTACCTAGTTTATAAATTCTACAGATAAAGATATGTCTAAGTTGACACACCCCCTAGGCTAGATAAGGGGTAGTGCTGAGCAAGAAACATGCAGCAGGCTAGCTCTACAAGTCCAACCTCTGAGGCAGGGGTCCAAAGACCAGTCAGCAAGAGTACAAACAAGACGAGCAAACCAGGGCGGCACTACTAGTCCGACCACGGGCAGAGAAGCCACAAGGCCAGTCTGAAAGGTATAAATATAGAGGAGTATCTTAGAATTAAATAATTGATAGCTAGAGAACCCGGGTACAAGGATATATACCTAAGGGTTGTACCCTCTAAGAGGTGACCCTATACAGTCTATACAAATATTAGAGATACAAATGTTTGATACACCCCCTAGACTGCATAGGCGCAGTTCCTGAACAAGCCGCTCAGGGCGGAACTACTAGTCCAGCCACTGAGACAAGGGTCTAAAGACCAGTCAAAAAGGAGTACAGCCAAGCCAAGAACAAGACCAGGGCGGCACAACTAGTCCAGCCACTGGAAGAGGACACAAGTCCAGTCTGAGTAAATATAAAAAGGACAGTACAAAGTCAAGGCCCTAGCAAGTGAGAGGCTACAGGAACTAGACCGAGCTGTACACAGTCCCGCTGATGATCTTTAGGCGCAAGCGCCTTTGGAAAGATATCAGCTGTGTTCGCACCTGAGGCCAGGTGTACTACGCGAGCCTGGCGGCGCTGCTGTAGCTCGCGAAGGAGGAAGTACCGCAGCTGGATATGCTTCGCTCTGCCCTCGAGTCGAGGCTCCTGACACAGGAGGATCATGGCCCTGTTGTCAACGTACAGGACCGGGGCAGAGCTAAGCCGCTCACCTAAGTCAGTGAGCAAGAAGGTCAGCAAGCGGAGCTCCTGTGCCGCCATGGCACCAGCGTAGATCTCGGCCTCACAGCTGGACTGGGTAATAGACGAGGAGCGGGTAGCTCTCCACGAGACAGCACTTGAACCAAGGCTGCAGCAGTAGCCCTGGGAAGACCTGAGGGTCTCGACGTCGTCTGCCCAAGAAGCGTCTGAGTGTCCAGTAAGGACCACTGGCCTGCGTCCTCCTAGCACTAACCCCATGGACCGATGTACTTGCGAGATAACGCAAAACCCTCTTAGCGGCAGACCAGTGCTGCGGTCAGTGTCTACCTGTGGCCACAAAGCGAGCCAGGATGCTGAGAGGGTATGCGAGATCTGGGCGAGTGCAAGTCATCAGGTACATGAGGCAACCCACCAGCTCTGCGTAAGGACTACTGGGCTCTACTGACTCCTCAGGAATTGGAGCCGAGAGTCTACCTGTGCAGAGGGGTGGGCTGTGCAGAGGAGAACTGAAGGCCGAACCTACCTGGCGCACCAAGTGTGACTGAGTCAAAGTGATGGTGCGCGCTGCTCTATCCCTGGAGATCTGCAAGCCAAGGTAACGGCGCAGTTCTCCAAGGTCAGTACAATTGTGTCTCTTCAGCAGCTCTGCCTTCACCGAGGCCAGTGCCCTGTCTGCTGTGGCAAAGACCAGATCATCTACGTAAACAAGGATGTAGAACGGAGTCTGGCCAGCACGAACGAAGAGTGAGGGGTCTGCAGAGGACGGAAAGAACTGCAGGTCAGCAAGGGTAGCACGCAGCGTGTCGTGCCACTCACGGGGCGCCTGCCACAGGCCGTAGTCGGGGCGCCGCAGGAGCCACTGGGTCCCAGGAGGGAAGGTGCCAGTGAAGCCCTGAGGGCGACGCAGGTAAACCTGCTCGTGTAGGCTGCCCTGAAGAAACGCAGTGGAGAAGTTGAGGGAGTGGAGCTCGTAGTCACGCTGAGCTGCTACGTGTAGCAGCACCCGAAGAGTAGTCATCTTCGGGGTCGGAGCGAAAGTCTGAAAGAAGTCCACTCCCTCACGCTGACTGAAACCTCTAGCCACGTAGCGCGCCTTGAACACAGGCGGCTCTCCAGGAGGGCACTTCACCTTGAAGAGCCAGCGGCCATCGACTATGTTCACCCCAGGTGGGGGAACTGCGTCGACGTAGGTGCCGGTGGATCTCCAAGATGCCATCTCCTACTCCATGGCAGCTATCCACTGAGAGGCCCAAGGTCCCGAAACAGCCTCAGGGTAAGTGCGAGGGGTCGGGATGTCGAAAGCGTCTGGGTCACCCTCAGGGACTAGCAGCATGGAACAGAGATGGGGAGCAGCCTCGGACAGGAAAGCAAGCTCGAACTGGCAGTCCTCCTGGACATCACCGCCGAGGGCAGGAGTACCCCCGACAGACGGAGGACAGGCAGGGTCAGAGACCAGAGCAGTGGCGTAGTCAAGGCGGCGGGTAGAGGCGAGGTCAGCGACCGCAGCGACAAGAGCACTAAGACACGAGACCGGAATGCACGGGTCGGTAACGAGAGATGCAAGGACCCGAGGAACAAGAGGACGAGCGGCACGAAGGTAGTCAGACAGAGTAGGAGGCGCAACGGTAAGAGAGGATGGAGGAGGCGCCGGTAGAAGGGAAGGACGAGACGTGTGGGAACGGAGCAACATAGGGTGAGAGCGCGTGACAGGAGATACAGGACGAGCACGGGAGGGACGGCGAGATCAGACATGAGACGGAGGCCTCGGGTCAGGAGACAGAGGAGGGGACACAAGGGGGGAGCGAGGGGGAAGACGAGCCGGGGACGAGTCTGGCGGAGGGAACACAGGGCCGTAGACAGGAGGAGGAGGAGACGGCAGGAGAGGAACAGACGCAGGGTCAGGGGACGGAAGGCCGAGCAGGCGAAGGGCTAACACCGGCGGGGACTGCTGCTGCGGCGGCACAACACCGATACCGGGACCGCAAGCTGCTCCTCGGCTACCTCCGGGACACTCCACTCCTGCACCCCCAGAAGGAACACCCCCAGAGCCCGAAACCCCTCGAGCACCGGTACCACCCCCAGAGTCAACGAACTGCTGCTGCGATGGCGGCGGCGGTGGGGGCTGCAACGATGGGTGCGGCTGCGGCGGCGCGGAGACGACGGCTGCGACAGTTGAGGTGACAGCGGCTGCAGAGGCGGTAGAGGAGGAGACACCCGGGGAGGGGCAGACGGCGAGGACTGCGCCGCATGACCACGAGAGTCAGAAGACTCCTCGACCGGGGCAACCAACCGAAGGGGGGTGGCGTGGGACACCAAAGGGGGCAGGACGGGGAGGGGGAGGGGGGGCGGCAGGGACCACCGGGGAAGGAGTGACCAGGAACAGGGGGGGAGTAAGCGGGGGACCGCGGTGGGGGAAGTGACGGTAGAAGGAGACAGACTCGTCAAAGGTGACGTTGCGAGAGTGAAAGAACCGGTAAGACGGCGGGTGGTAGAAGTGCCAGTCGGACGCGTCAAGGGGAAAACCGAGGAAGACACAGGGAAGGGTGCGGGCAGTGAGCTTGTCCGTGCCAGAGGCACGGACGTGAGCAAGGCAGCCCCAGACGTGGAACGCAGACGCGTCACCAGGAGACCCGGTCCAAAGAAGGGTTGGCGAAACCTGCGGCTGCTGGGGGTGCGGCCACAGGTTAAGCTGGTGAGCAGCGTAGCACACGGCAAACGGCCACAGGAAATGGGGTGCACCGGCATGGATCATGGAGGTGCGAGCCACCTCCATGACCAAACCGATGCGTCGCTCAGCGACCCCATTCTGTTGTGGGGAGTCCGGCAGTGTGAACGTTTGGGTGATGCCCTCCGCACGACAGAAGTGACCAAGGATACCTGAGGCAAACTCGCCACCACGGTCGGAGTGAAGACGCAAGACAGGGAGACCGCGGTGGACACGCGCAGCAACAAACCAAGGGATGAGAGCGTTAGGCACGTCGGCCTTTCGCTCCAGGGGAAAGACTGTGGTGTAGCGAGTGAAGTCGTCAACAAGCACTAGGAAGTAGCGCTCTTGACGTGGCCCATGGACGGGGGCGGGGCCCCAGACGTCCATGTGCAGGGTCTGCAGTGGCGCGGCGGTAGGGGGAAAAGAAGAGGAGTGAGGGGCACGGCGAAGCCGACCCTCAACACAAGGCGTGCACAGTGGGGCGGGGGAGGAGGGAAAAGCGGGGAACGAACTGGGGAGACCAAGGACGAGACCGTGCTAGGACATGTGACGCAGACGCGGGAGCGCAGGGTGACCTAGGCGGTGGTGCCAAAGGAGAGTCGGGTGAGGGAGGGACCGATAGGAGCAGGCAGCAGCAACCTGGGAAGACGCAGCCACCTGAGGGGCGCCCCAGCCGGGGGGGTCACGGTGTCCAGTGTGAACAGGTCGGACACCGAGTCCCGGGGGAACGTGGTAAGGGGGGCACCAGTGGCGGCCTTGGTATAGACTGCATACCGCTCGTGACCAGGGAACGTAGTGGTGACGCCAAGGTCCTGGAGGCAGCCGACACCAACTAGGTTCCTGGAGAATGAGGGGATATGCAGACCTATGAGAGAGCCCGAAGGAACTGCCGGACAGGGAAGGGTGGTGGAACTACGGGCGACTACCGGACGGTCAGAGGGGTCAGCAAGAGAAACTGCAGCAGGAACAGGAAGCAGCGTCAGCGTAGTGGCGTCGCGGAAGAAACACCGAGAAGCGCCAGAGTCTAACGTGAAGGAAAGCGCAGCAATGGCGTCTGGCGACTGGGAAGCGGCGGAAGCACCAAGGCTAAACAAAGCAGTAGATCCTACGCCTGACGCAGCAGGGGAGGCTAAGCTAGGCACATCTACACTAGGCGGCAAGGAGTAATAAGAGGGTAGCACACTAGAGTCATCAGCGTACATCACATGCAGGGCAGCGACAATGTCATCCATTTCCATGTCAAAAGTCTGAACTGTACGACTAAGCAAACTGTGCCAGTCCGGGAGGTCGGGCGACGGGCTGAAGCGCTGACGAAACAGGTCATCCAGG